ACAAGGCTATGGGCCAAATGGTGGAAACTGGGACGAGAATAGATGGAGGTTTGGTGACCGGCATGGACACGAATTGTGTTCTTCCACGCTGTAAAAACTAAAAAACGGTGAAACAGATCTACAGTGAAAATGATCACAAATTAAAATGCAAAGACAGTATCATTGAGAAAATACATGAACATGTCTATTGTTTTCCCTGGCAGTCTAGTGGTTAGCATTCAGTGCTCTCACTGTTCATAGCCTATGTTCGATTCCTGGTCAAGGAATAGAAGTTCTACGCTGCTAATTTATTGTGGTGACAGCATTTCTGACTGTTTTTTCAGGAGCTGGAAGGTAATCTATTTTATTGCAAACGCTATTCAGATTAACATAAAACAAAGGACTGTGGAAAACCAATACAAGAACAGGAATAGATTGAGAAACTCAGCTCTGACCACACCGGTGTAGAGAAATAGAGTTAACATTTCTGGTCCAGTGACTGTTCGTAAGTGCAAGGTTTGTTATCAATTTCTATATTACAATGCCAGAGGAAATTATCAGCTCTGTCTGTTGAATCAACATATCTATCAAATTGTGCTCTCTCATTAGCTGACAACTGTCAACTTTACAACCTTAAAGGTATTTCATTGGCTCTAATGCTCCTTCCATTGCCCAGATGTGGTGTGAGGCTGATTAAATGGTTGCCTTTTTCTTTTCCATTGTGTCAGTTTGCAGCCATGTCGAATGAGAATTGGTCCTTTCAGTGTCTCCCTCAATATGTATCTTTATTTGTCTCTCTTTGTTTCTGTATATCCATTTCACCCCCTTTCACATATTCCGACTCTCCTTCTGTCAAAATCCCTCATTTCCCATTCTTGCTCTGTGTAAAGTCTGAAATTCGGAGATAATTTAAGAGTGGAGCTGCTGAGAGGCTTTTACCCTGTGGCTGGAGTGTCTAGGACTGGGCTCACATTCCCCGGATAATGTGTCTGTCACTTAGGGCGGAGGTAATAAAATATTTCTTCTCTCAAAAGATTGTGAATCTTTAGAATTCTAAATAGAATTCTCAATCCATCAGAAAAAAATACAATTAAAGGATTGTAGTGATGTCTTTACTGTTTGGTGTAAAATGAATGAATGGTACAGTGGAGAATGAGGGGGATCAGCTCACTCTGACTGTGCCATTACCACAACATTCTCCGCTAAGTCTGCAATTTATCCTGGTCACCTTGTTATTCCAATCAAACTGGGAATGAAGGGATGAGAATAGAAGGAAAGGAGAGCAGAAGTCCTTGCAGAACAGCAGAAAGGAACTTCATGATGAATCCATCAGAAAAAGAGAAGTCACTGATGCAGTCTCCTGAGGACAAATGTGTTTTCTTTGCCAGTAAAATTCACTACTTCACTAAGCAGGGACGATTGAAGTGAAGCAGTGACAGTGATTATCTTTGCTGGTTGTTCACCGTGTGAATGTTACCATTGCTGCTCATGTCCCTGTCAGCACCACAACACTGGCGCATGTAAGCATTGCACATATGTGGGGCCAGTGATGCAATGGATAATGCGCCTGACTACAGATCAGGAGATCGTAGGTTTGACTACCTAGCTCAAGTGTAGTTCACAATTTCTTTACACTTCCAAACTAATCTTCCTCATTGCCCTGAAACCAAGATGAGCTTTGAATTTCTAATCTACAGGAACAAGACTCCTTTCAATGTCTCACATCAGTAAATGTCACCGAGAATGTCAGAGGAGGGGAAGCTGAAATAGTCCCACAAAATTCACATTCAATTTCCCATACCTACTGACCCAGTCACTGGATCTCCCAGGAATGGAAAGAAAACAAAACAAAAAATAAAACCAGTCTCTGCTTTGTGAGTCTTTCGAAATTCTTTGGGAAACAGAATCAGAGGAGAATGAAGGTGAATTTTCCAACTGAGCAGCGGCAGTCGAGGAAGCTTCCCCTTCTTTAAGAGGCTGGGACACTGACTCTGATGCTCTCGGGGACATTAACTGACCTGAGACACTGAAAGGATTCCCATCAGAGACTGCTCTGTGTTTGATTTTGTTGCTGTCAGGAACAATAAATCCTGATTCCCTGACCAGAAATCGAACCTATTATCCCAGTTTCCAACACTCAGCCTGGAGCCTTGTGTGCTCTGACGTTTCAAGCGTTCATCTCAATGATATTTTCCTTGTAATGTTTTAATCTCAAGTGCCACAAAGAATGGGACTGAGATTTGAGATGGTAAAGTTGTGTTCATGCCCCCTCGGGGAACTGAACCTCATTTTCATCCAGAGAAGGAAACACAGAGGCACATTGTCCCAAGAGTAACAAAAACAAAGTTGCTGGAAAAGCTCAGCAGGTCTGGCAGCACCTGTGGAGGAGAAAACAGAGTCAAAGTTTTGGGTCCAGTGACCCTTCCTCAGAACCAAGAGTGGCATCAGCTTCAGGAGAGACCAACCCCAGAAAGCAAGTATTTCACCCATCTGCCTTATATTGTCCCATTTCAGACTTCAAAACCAGTGTCTGGTTACAGCAAAGAAAGGAAGCATTCAGTGCGTCCCCTGCCTGTGTTACTCCCCCCATTGTTGCCCCATTACTCTGCAGCTAATCCTGCCTCACCTCATTCTTCCTGCCAAACTGGAACATTGCTCACGCCAACTGCTTTCTGTCCTTCTGAAAGATCTTCCTCAAGTACCTGAAAGGACAAACAGGAATGTGGTATTTCAAACGTATTTCTTGCTGGTTGAGGAAATGTCATGGTGGTATTAACGCTGTTTCATCAGAAATAATTTCAAACGACTTTAAAGAGCTCCTTTGGTTGGTTCCAGCAGGTGGTGAACATTCTCTCAGGCCCCAGAAAGAATCAAACTCAAAACCACTGGGTGAATCACCAAACTACAAAGTCATGCATTACAAACTGCAATGTAATAGATGACTGGATAGCCTCTGCATCATACACCAAGACAATGTAACAGATCCCATACAGAGCTGAGGGAATCATGTGCAGAAGGATGGGGGAATACATTATCAAATCAGACCGTGTCCAGGGTGATATGAACAGAGATCAGCCCTGGTAGTCGAGTGATCAGGATTCAGTGACTTCAATGGTTAACATTTACAGTAATAAATATAAAACACTGACTAATCTTTAGAAGCAGAATTATGTCATGGACCAGTCAGAATCGATTCACTGCATATTACTGTTCCTATATTGCTACATATTAGCAATGTCAGCTGTAATTGCCTGATGTGCAATCGGTTTAAAACAAGAAAAGAGCGAACATCAGGAAAAGTGAAGGGCAATGGTGGTTTGCAAGAGCTGACTGTCGGCCTACTGAAGCCAGGCCCAATGTGGGTTCTGAAGACTGATTTTCACTGTTTACCCCGGTACATAGATCACTCTGAATCAATCACCCACAATGACTCTCCTTTGTGTGGTTGCCCTTTGCACATCTCACCTCGGTTCAATGTCCAGAGGGGATCCACGCATGTTACCTTGGCAAATTTTGCAAAGTCATCTTTCCAGTCTCATATTAAGACCATAAACGTTCGGAGCAGAAAGAGACCATTCAGCCCATCCAGTCTGCTCTGCCATTTAATGAGCTTGTGTCTGATATAATAATCCTGAACTGCACTTTCTTGCCTTTCCTCATAACCCTTGATACCTTTACTGATTAAAAATGTCAATCTCACCACTGAATACACTTAATGACCAAGATCTGACAACCCTCTGCTGTAAGGAATTCCACCGATTCACAACCATCTGAGAGAATAAATGTTTCCTCATCTGTCTTAAATGTGCGACCCCTGTTCTGATATTAGGCACTCTGGTGCAAGACTGCCCAGAAGGAAATTTTTTGTGTCCATATGTTAAATCTTAAAGAAACCTGTATGCTTTAATAAGGAGCAAGTATTTTTGTATTACTGTGTCTGAGTACGTGAAGTCAATGGATTTCAGTGCTTCGTCCTGTTTGGTTTCATCCTTGATGGTAAAACTTCCACTGATTCTGACAGAGATGTCCGCTGTACGTCTTTTAATGTCAGGAATTCACGTTCATTTTAAGAGTTTGGACAGGAACAATAAAGTCCTCATTCCTATTTGGGAATCAAACCGAGAACACACCAGTTGCAATGCTGAATCCCAAAAAGGAAGGTGTACACAATATTTGCAACTTTTCTTCTTGACACTGATTTTGACCTTTTGTTTCAATTGCAAAATGATAGTCAGTGAGATTTTAACACCATGGAGAGAGGCCCTTCAGCCCATTACATCTATGCCAGTCATCAAACATCTCACTTCTCAACCCAGTTTCCAACACTTGGCCCATTGCCTCATTTGCGCTGACGTTTCAAGTGCTCATCTGAATAGTTAGTTTATGTCTTGAGGGCATCAGGAGAACAAAAACACTTCCTTCAACAAACGACAGGAAATATTGTTTGCTGCAACATGAAATCTATGTTTTTCTCTTTGAAGACAGTTATGAAAGCCAAACTCTTTCTCAGAGCCATTTGCCAGTTTTCCTCATGATGCCAACAGTGTAGATTTAAATCCCACACCGCCTGAGGTTACTATCCCCTTTCAACCTCTCTGCTGACATGAGATATGGTGTCCTTCAGGTCAACCCACCACCAGTTTCGTCTCTCCCCTGTGACCGAGAATGTGTATGGCGACTCAATATCAGTACCAGTGTGGCTCAGTGTCAGACTTTGTGATATTATTATCCCTGGGATGCAAAAGGCATTGTATTATTAATTATTAATTGTATTACATATGTCAGTTGCCTTGGAAGAAAGCGTAGAGAAAGATTGCTTTTACACATTACAACAAATAAAATTCAGTCTTTACAATGGCGGGCACTTAACACAGAATTCCGAGCGCTATGCACCGCATTCCTTATCACTGCGCAGGCTCAGTATGTTCCCGCGGGCCCACAGTCTTGAGCATGCGCAGGGAGCGATCCTGGGAAGCAGTCGCTCTTTTCATCGGCTTTAAAAAAGGTAACAATGAGGCAGAATGGAGGAGGCGATAGACCGGGCGGTTAGACGGGGAGGCTTTCTAAACACTTCGTGGATGCGGCAGACCCCGCATAAAGAAGCTATTTGCGCCCGTTTCACAAAACGGGACAAATCGAGGCTCCCTCTCAACGGCAGGCCGCGGGTAACGGCCGCCATCTTTGTAGGAGGCAAAGGGCAGCAGGGCGCATGTGCGGTCATCCTGGGCCAGGAGAAAGAATGTTGTGAATGTCTCTGCTGGACTGAAAGGGATGGAGTTTATAAACTGCTTTTGCAGGGAGTGAGGAGGGGAGGATTTACACACAGCGTACTCCAAATAACAGAAATATTTGTCTCTTCTGAAATTCTGTCCTGGACTGACTGAGATGGCTTTTGTAAACTTATTTTACAGCATGTTAGAAGAGGATTTACAGAGTGCAAACTCAAACCGCATAACATACCAAGATCTGAATGTGCCACTCAGCACTGGATATTATTGGCCTTTCAATGTAAGTATTGAGCAAGATAAAAGTTACAAAATTCCTTCCTTGTATCTCCCAGTAACTATTGCCTCGTATCTTAAATCTGTGTGTCTCTCAGTTTTACTGTTGGTGAAGAGGAACAGCAGCTCTTTGTCTACCTTATTTAAACCTATTATAAACCTGGACACTTTATCTCAATCTCCTTTGCTCTGTGCAGTACTTCAGTTTCCCCAACCTGACCTCACAACTCATATCCTTCTTTTCTTGAGCCATTCTGATTCATCTCCTTTCAAATCTCTCCTCAGACCCTCACATCCTTTGTCAAGATCACCTGTTTGTGCAGACCCAAATGCTCTCTGTTCAAGTCAGTGATGTTATCTCACACGAGCAATTGCCCAGTGACATCACCCTGATTCCCAGTTATTTCCTAAACTACGGGTTTCCTCTGATCCCAAAGCTTCTGATATCTTTTGAGCTGCAGACTCCAGCATTTGATTTTAAAATTGAACACAATGAAATTATTTCAATGTTTTTAACCAGTAATCTGCACAATTCACCTTCTCATGTTCTTCTCAGTTATCTGACTCTGGGACTAATGCGACTCGTTTTGTCACCTCCTCGTTATGTGGCTTGTGTCAAGAGCATGCATTATAACACTCGACATTGTTCTGGTCCATCTCTGCTCTCCTGATCAACTTGATCATTTTAATCTGCTATGTCTCCTATAACGTGTGTAACTGTCTTATTTTATTGTTACTTCCATTGACTCTCTCATGAGGTTTTTACAGCTGAACATTGCCTGACCACTTGCTGCTGGCAATTATCTTCCCTTAATAGGTCCCACAAGACTGTCAGGTAATGAGTTATTCACCAAGTGATGATGAAGGAACTGTGATATGTCTAAATCAATGGCAATTAATTTATATCAATATTGCACCCTTCACATTGTGGAAACTTCCAATCTGTTCGTTGAGAGTGTTATAATGCAACTTTTATGATGTGAAAATGTAGCAGGAACTGCTACACCTGCCCCTCTACCTCCCCGCTAAGTTTCATCCAAGGCACCAAACAAAGCTTTCACATCAGACGAGGTTCACCTGTTCATCCGTCAATGTGGTCGATTGCATCCGCTGCTTCCGATGTGGCCTCCCCTACATTGTTGAGACCAAGTGGAGGCTCGGAGACTGGTTTGTAGAGCACCTGCGCTCTTTGC